TGAGATGTCCTGTTATTTATTCCAGATTGAGGCAGAAGTGCAGAGAAGAAAACAATTAATTCATCAGTCAGCGGAACGGAAAGCCATCATTTCACAGTGTTACAAACCCAAGCACCCAGACGTGTACATTCTGCAGGTAGACAGTATCCATGGGCTCTGTTTTGCACCCAGGGAATTGCTAGAAAGATTGTTTTGGCAATAGGAAGCCCCTGTGCTCCTCAGGATCCTTCAAAATTCTGCAGCTGAACTGATCGAAAAGCAAAACGACTGTCACAATCACAGAATGCTTAGGGTTGGAAGGGACCTCTAGAGATCATCTAGTCCAACCCCGCTGCTCCAGAAGGGGCACCTAGAGCACATGGCACAGGGTGGCATCCAGGCAGGGACACAGCTTAGCATAATCTCCAGGCAAGATTCAGCCTGCTTTACAGCTACATAAGGGTAATTATTTATTAAAGCTGCCCCAGCGCCTAGTACTGGGCTCAAAATACCATTGGTTCTTTAGGTCTGAAGCCTCATCTCAGCAAACGGAGTGTGTGGAGTCTATGAGCTGCCAACAGAAATCAGCATTTAGTGGCTTAACACAGACCAGTTCCTGGCTACCAGCTGCAGGCTGCTTGCAGGTGTTCCCCCCAGGCCAACACAAGCCCTCCTTGTTGTGGGCTGCTCTGATTTGAATTTCCTTGTGTTTGCAAGACCAAAGCCTTCCCAGCTGGGTAATTAGCACAGATCAGCAGTGTGCAGGCAGGTTCTCACACCCTCTGCTCCATGATGCTCCAGCAGCAAGTTCTGCTGTTGCCTGCCACACTCTTGTGGGGAGGCATTCACAGCAGAGCCTGATCACCACTGTGCCTGTGCCATGGCAAAGTGCTGCCTCTAGTAAGCATGAGTCTGCATTTACCTGCATATTATGTGTCCATAATATGAGCCAGGCTCTTTTCCTCATTATGCCAAGGATAAATCTGGCCAGTAATACTTAGAAACACCCATGAAACACAGGAAAACAAAATCAAAAAACCTGCAAAAAGTAACAATAATTCTGCCTTTCTTGTCATATAAATAACAACTGTGACCTTGGTCGCTGGGCTCTTCATAGCTTCCCATGACTGGAAGTCTGTTTTCTTACTGGGTTTTAAAAGCCTGCATGAGCTAATTGTTTTTCTGTCTATTTTTATCATCCTCCTCTTGATGCAAGGATTCGTTCCTGGCCCCAAAGTTTCTAGAAATAGTGAGATACTGCACATCACCAGATGCTCATCTCGATGGCCTCCTACGCTACACAGAGTCCTTCCCAGGTAAAGGAAACAACCCATCAGCAGCAGAGAACTTCCAGTGTGACACTGAAACTTCAGTGGTGACAGCTATTTCCAACCCCTGTCCTCAATATCCGAGTTCTGATACACAACCAAAACAATCAGGGTGTTATTTGCTGCCTGATGAAAGTCTCTGGAGAGACAGTAGTGTGCAGCAGCTACACTCTGGATGAGATCATGTTTTCTGCTCTTCCAGCCCCAATCTGCTGATGTCTCACCAGAGACAGCTACCTGAGCTCACAAGGGAGGCCACTGGAGGAACTTCATTAGCCTGGAGACTTGGTTTTCCCCAAGTGCATTACTGTTTCAGATAGTCCGTTTTGGTTAGAGCTGGAGTATTTTCAGTCTACATTTCAGTCTTCTAAAATTTTCCATTTTCCTGGTAGCATCCATGAAGCTCTTTCCCCTACAAGAACCACTATAAATGTAGAGGGGAAGCTGCCTCAAAGGTGCCTCCTTTTCTCAAGGCAACAAGGTGCATTTTTTCCGGGCTCCTGGTGGTTATTTATCCAGGGGACAGTTGCCAGGCACACAGTCTTTTCATGTTCCTATAACCTTAATACTGAGCACTCTCTCCTCCCCATAGAGACCTTTGGGGCCCTACCCTAAAAGGCAACACACACAACACGGTCCTCAAAAAAAGTTGTTGCTGGGCAAGTGAATCCCATCCCCTAGAAGACCTTGACTCCCATTCATCCACGAGGCTGACCTTGGACTGCCGGGGATGAGCTGTTGATGCAGTATCCTTCCTCCAGAGCTCGTGGACCCTCTTGAGGCATTTCCTTGGCACCTACTGCAGGCATTTAAATCAGTGCCAGGTTTTCTGACTCGTTGAGAAAGCCAGGAAACAAAGGGCCTGTATAGACACGCAGATGTATCCCAGAACCTGTCCCACAAATGGTGCCTGACCACAAGGTGATGCACATGGGTGCTGCATTCTCACTGCTGTCACCATCTACTTACACATTGTGACAGCCAGGTGCTTTTCTTCCTGTTGTTCTCCCCACCAAGCAGCATCTCCCTTCTCCTGACAGATAAGCGGATCTGTCGGCTCCCGGTGTTCACAGAGGAATTCTGCCAAGCCTTTGTTGATGAGCTGGAGAACTTTGAGCAGTCGGATATGCCTAAAGGCAGGCCCAACACCATGAATAACTATGGGGTAGGACTCACTGGTTCTTGTTCTTTGGTAGAAGTGTTCCTTAGCAGATGCTGTTTAGCTCTTTGCTTCACATGCTTTTCCCTTCCAAAACAAGTGAAACTGTACTCAAATTATGCACGACTTATAGCATCCTTCCGAGTGAAAGGGCTGAGGGAATGTTTATGACCTATCCAGAGACAAAAAGACAAGGCAAACAGGGGAAGGGGATGGGAGCTGATAGAGTAAAGAGCACCCTGTACTTAAGCAATACCCTTTTAAATCCAGGACTCTATTTTTACATGAACATTCAACTTTTGATCTTTCTCACTATTCACCATTATTTTCCACCTTTATCCTCATTCCTTTGTGTGTAGCTGGAGCCTTTGCTCTTCAGGTATTTTTGTCTGAGCAAGTAGCAGAGTTGAAGAATAAAACACAGCTCTGCAGCAGCTCTGCTGTTACAGCAGATGTGACCTAGGTGATGGTCAGATGTTCCCACCTCCTCTCTCTTTGGGACAGGTTTTGCTAAATGAACTTGGGATGGATGAAACTTTCATCACACCCCTGCGTGAAAAGTACCTGCGTCCCATAACAGCCCTGCTGTATCCCGACCTGGGGGGGGCCTGTCTGGACAGCCACAAAGCCTTTGTGGTCAAGTACTCACTACATGAAGATCTGGATTTGAGCTCTCATTATGACAATGCAGAAGTCACCTTAAATGTCTCACTGGGAAAAGACTTCACGGAAGGCAACTTGTACTTTGGGGAATTCCACCAGGTACTCAGCATCCTAATGTGCACCCCAATTCTCTTCCCCTGACACTCTGCCCTACTTCAGACCTATAACTGCTTCAGGAAGCAGCTCTATTAGAAGGAGTGTTATTCATTAGAACTCTTAGAATTAGGACAGTTTGGGGTTTTTTTTTTTTTTTTCCTCTTCAACTGTGGTTTAGGTTTCTGTCTAGAGAAGTCTGTAGATAGAATGAATGGGGAGGGAGCTACCAGAAAGAAAAGTTAGTCAACTTCTGGCTAATCTAAAGACAACAACAACAAATTCACTTCTGACAGTCGAAAGTCACTCCCTTTCTAAATGCAGGAGTTATACACACATGAGCCTTTTCTCCTGCAGCAAAAGCTCTCAATAGTTAACTGCAGCCAATTCAAAGAGGTGCTATAGACAACTATCACAGCAGAAACTGGAATGAAAGAAACCAACACATTTTTCCACAGATAAAATAATGAGCAGGGAGGTGCAACGAAAGAGAAGCTATTTAAATCTATGGCCCCTATTCCCAGGGGAATCCAGACAAGAGAGGGTAATAACACCAATACACCAGTAAACCAGCTTTTTTGACTGAAATTCTGTTTAAATTCCCTCTGGACCCAGTACTGGCTATGTCTTACGTACAGTCAGTTGTACTGAGCTGCTGCCAGGTCCCCGCAGAGGTGTCTGCGTTTCAGAGCTGCAGAGTCTCCTCCATTCCATTGCTGAGTGCTGTGAGTGAGAAGGTGGCGGCTGTTTGGGCACTGTCTTGCTAATGACCTGCTGGTGTAAGGGCATTTCCTTCCTTTTCCAGGATCCCAGCCCTGTACCAAAGTACCTTGAGATCGAACACGTGAGGACCCAAGGGCTGCTGCACCGAGGAGGGCACATCCACGGGGCACTTCCCATCGCCTCCGGCGAACGCTGGAACCTCATTATTTGGATGAGATCCTCTGCCATCCGCAACAAGCTTTGCCCCATGTGCAACAAGAAACCTGAGCTGGTGGAAGCAGAGGGATTTGGAGATGGGTTCACCGAGACCCTCGAAGATGAAACACCCGAGACTGTGAATCTCTGTTCCGTGTGGTAGCGGGACATGGCTTCTCCACACCAAGATGCTGCTTTCCAACCTCTGAGCACACGAATGGCCTCTGAGGGACACTTCAGTCACGCAGCAAGTAGCTGCACCTGGGAGAACACCACAAACCCGATCCTGCTGGAGGTCAGGAAGCTGCTGCTTGGCCACCGAAGCGCTGGTACTTGGGCCAGCCTGGGCTTGCCCCCAGCCTTAGGCCCTGGAGAATGTTTGGGAGATGTAAAAAGCCTTAACACTTCGATTCAGTGTGTCAATATGTGTAAATTATTTCGGGTACACAAGAAAGACCAAAGCTGCTTGGCCCTTGTGAAGGCCAATAGCAGCATTTTGGATTCCTCTGTAAATGGAAGAGTCCTACAATAAAGTCCTACAGTTACCTCCTCTCCCACCTGGAGGGTCCCGTTCCCTCCCAGGTGAGAGGGAAGAGCCTTTTACTGCTATGGAGTGAGGAGGTTGCTGGGGCTTTACCTAGTCCCAGCTCAGAAACACTTGCCAAGAGCAATGCAGGGAGAGCTGATCCCCGAGGGCAGGAGAGCACCTCACAAGGGCTCTACCAGCTCCTTCTGAGCAGACGTTTTGGAGATACCGTGAAGCTCAACAAGCAGAAATCAGCCCAAGAGGCAGCTCCCAGAACTCGGTGCCCACGGCACAGCCATCCCGAGGAAGGCAAGAGCACAAAACCTGAGCCAAGATGGTTCATTCCCTGCGTCCAGGTGCCCAGACAGGTGGCCACACAAACAACCCCTCAGTGTGGGCGCAGGAGGCCCGTGACACCCGAGTTTGGCACCCGGATCCCTCGGTGACCAACAGCATTAACAAGCTCACGTGGTCCCTCACCAGCAAGCAGAGGGCATCAAATCAGCTGCAGGTGAAGAGCCTCTTATTGACAAAACAAATTAAAGACAGCAGATATCTTTCCACTTGGCTTCTGCATTTGGCTCCATAGAAAATTATCTGTGTGTAGTCGATACACACACAGTCCCCTGCATTTCTAGGGGCTTTTTAAAGATTTACTTACTCAACACCAACAACTAGGGTGCAAGGACTGGGCATAGTCAATAGCTTTGAAAGGCCGAGCGTGAGCAGCACCAATATAACTATCGCATAACAAATATCCGGTACGTGGTGCTGAACCCGCAGCAGCACCGAGGGCGGCTGCTTTTTCCCCACTTTCCCTATCAGGAAAAAACATTCACAGAATTTCTCAGCACAAAACGTCAGCACTGCCTGCTTGCACCCAAGGAATATAAAAAATATTCAGTTACCGGCCGACAGACATCACTGTAAGCCACCTCTCGCCTGGCACCCGTGCGCAGCAGAGGCCACGAGCGGCTCCGCAGGCCGAGACCGAAATCTCCCCTTTTCGCTTAAAAACGGAGCCAGGAGGAGGCGCGGGGAGCCCCGGAACTAGTGTGCGCCGCCGCTGTTCCCGTCCCGCCCGACGGCCGGAAGTGAGGAGGCGGACGCGGAAGCAGCAGGTCCCCTGGGTGCTGCAGGGGCCGGCGCGGCCGTTACCGGCGGGACCGGGCGGCGCAGGGGCGGCCGTGGCGGGACGCGCATGCGCGCGGC